ATCACGGCCGACGGTCAACGTCGCTACGACCCCGTGCCCAAGCCTGCCTGGTCGCCGGAACTGTTCCTGGGACACAACTACATCTGCCATTTGGCCGTGATGCGCAAGCACCTCATCGATCGGGTCGGTGGTTTTCGCCCCGAATACGACGGGGCCCAAGACTGGGATCTCTTCTTTCGCATCACCGAGCAGACCAACAACATCAAGCACATCCCCAAAATCCTTTACCATTGGCGAGCGCTCCCCGAGTCGTGCGCCTCGGGCATCAAAGCCAAGCCCTATGCCGTGGCGGCGCAGCGTCGTGCGGTGTCCGATCATCTTCGACGGCAAGGGATCGAGCCCGATGTCGTCACGATGCCTAACGAAACCCAACGGGTTACCTGGACGCTGGAATTGCGACCAAGTGTTTCGATCGTCATCCCCAACCGCAATCAGCCAAAACTGCTACGGCAGTGCATCACTGGCCTGCTGAAACGCACCGACTACGACCGTCTGGAAATCATCGTCGTCGACAACAACAGCACCGACCCCGAAACGCTGGACTATTATCAAGAGCTGACCCGCGACGATCTCGCTCGCATCGTGGCGTTCAATCAGCCGTTCAACTACTCAGCGGCCTGCAACACAGGCGCTCGAGCGGCCACCGGCGAGGTGTTGTTGTTCCTGAACAACGACACCCAGGTGATCGAGGCCGAATGGCTCAATGAACTCATCCGCTGGGTCATGCTACCCGGCGTTGGTGTCGTAGGAGCGAAGCTGTTATTCCCCGACGGAACCATTCAACATGCCGGCATGGCCGTGGGGCATATGGCCCTCTGCGGGCATCCTTTCTACCAGTTGCCCGAGCAGTGCGGAAATCTGTTCGGTACGCCCAATCATTACCGCAACCTGTCGGTGCTCACGGGAGCGTGCCACGTTGTGCGCCGCGAAGTGTTCGAGTCGCTCGGTGGCTACGACGAAGAGTACGAGTTGGCCTACAGCGATTGTGCCCTCTGCATCGAAGCGGCCCAGGCAGGACTTCGTAACATCTACACACCCTACGCTCGTTTGTTGCATCACGAGTGCGCAACCCGCGAGGGGCAAGTCCCACCGGGAGATGAGCGACGTTTCGCCGAACTACTGGAAGAAACACGACTCATCCACGATCCGTACTACTCTCCGATGATCGACGCGTTGTCGCACGACGGAAGGATGCGAACTCACAGTGCCATTTCTTCCGAGTCGGTGGTGCAACGCCGCATCGAGTTGGCCCGTCACAGTGAAGTTGAGCAAGACGAGAGGTCACCTATCCAGACAATCTGGCGACATCGGCCTGACCTTCGGCACCATTATCCCGACGGCCTGTTGCCCAGCGGCTGGCGTAACTACCGACGGTGGATCGAATTCTACGGACCGGCCGAATACGGCGATTTCAAGCCTTCGATCTACCAAGATTTCGAAGACCGGGTAAACCGTCGCGCGCCCGAAGATCTGGCCGAGACGTACCTCCTCAGTCCACAATTACAGGCCCGATTCCCGCTGGCACTCACCGTGTTCGATCGCGATCGCTTCCCGCGATGGATCGAAAGCCTGCAACCTGAGGAGCACAGCGAACCGTGCCAACGTCCGGCGGTGCTTTCTCCGGTCGAACAGCTGCATCGCTTGGGTCGTGTTCACTCCGAGCTAGGCGAACTGTTGGCCGCCGTAGGACATCACCCGCAAGCGGCTGCCAATGTGGTGAACTGGGTACACGACGTGGGTCGTCGGGCTTTCAACCTGCCCAGCGACTGGCTCGAGGCTTTCGACACCGAAGTTCGAAACGGTGCCTTGAGCCAGGCGGGAATCAATTTCGTCGGGTACCTCGGCTACGGTGCCGGGCTAGGTGAAGCCGCCCGGGGCTTGCACGCCGCCCTGGAGACGACCGGCATCCCGATGTCGGTGCGTAACGTCCCGCACACCCTGGGCTCCGATAAGCTCCTCGATATCAACACGATGGGGCTCGACCTGTATGACAAAACGCTGATGGTCCTGCAGCCCGACGCGCTCGACCATCACTTATCCGCCTGCGGAACCTCTTATGATCGCCAGGGCTACCACATCGGCATGTGGACCTGGGAACTGGAGAACGTGCCCGATACCTGGAACGGCGGCTTCCAACGAGTCGACGAAGTGTGGACCCCCAGCGATTTCGTCACCGACGCGGTTCGCCGCGCCACCGAGTTGCCCGTCCGCACGGTTCCTTACTGCGTTGAGATCGGCGAGGTCGACACAATTGATCGCGGACTGTTGGGAGTTCCCGACGATCACTTCATGTTCCTGTTCATGTTCGACAACAGCAGCGTGATGGAACGCAAGAACCCCATGGCCGTGATCAACGCCTTCAAGCAAGCCTTCTCGCTCGGCGACAAAGCCACGCTGGTGCTAAAAGTCGGGCGGGCCGAACACGATCCCCTAAGCTTCGCCCATCTGCGTCAGCAAACGGCCAATCATTCCATTCGCCTGTTTACTTCCCCGCTGAGTCGGGCGCGCTGCAATGGGCTCATCGATGCGACCGACTGCTATGTCTCGCTGCATCGCAGTGAAGGCTTCGGGCTGACCATGGCCGAAGCCATGCTGCTGGGAAAACCGGTGATCGCCACCGCCTACTCGGGCAACATGGACTTCATGACCACCGAGAACAGCCTGCCGGTTGAATACCGGCTGATCGATGTGCCCGACGGACTACCCTTCTACAAACCCGGCAACCGTTGGGCCGATGCTTCGGTGGAGCATGCGGCAAACTGGATGCGATGGGTCTACGAAAACCGCGAACTTGCCGCCGAAGTCGGACAAACCGCACGCCGGCAAACCCGAGAGTTGCTCTCGCGAAAAGCGATCGGTCGCCGCATCGCCAATCGACTGGCAGAAATCGATGGTCGCCAGACAGCCCATCAAGCCACACAAACTCCCGAAGTCCTTCTCAACCGTGGCCAAAGCAGCGTGCTGAAAGCGGCTTCTTAATCGGTCCGTGAAATCACAGACTGCCGGGAGAGTCTCTTAGCAAAACGCTTCAGACGGCTGTCTGCGTCTAGTACCAAGACGCTTTCTCAACCACATTACGTAGCGGCTCGCCACGATCGAACCGGCCGATGTTGTCGAGCACCACCTCTAGGTGGCGTTCGGCAACATGCTCACCGTAGCCGGCCACGTGGGGCGTTAGGATCACGTTGTCGAATCGCCATAGCGGATGCTCCGGCGGAAGTGGCTCGGTTTGGTAAACATCGAGCGCCGCCCCGGCAATCTCCTTGGCCTCAAGTGCCGCACACAAATCGTCAAGCTCCACGGTGGCGCCGCGGCCAATGTTGATGAAATACCCGTCGGGCCGCATCTTCTGGAACATCGTCCGATTGAACATACCGACCGTTTCCGGCGTATGCGGGGCACACAACACCACGTAGTGGCTTTCAGCCAGCAGTCGCTCGAGGGCCGAAAGATCTTCGAGCCATTCGACTTCCTCAGGCTTGTTGGCTGGATGCGTGTCGACGGCCACCACCCGAATCTTGGCGGCTCCCGCTCTGGTGGCCAACTCGCGGCCGATGCTTCCCAGCCCGATGATTCCCATCGTGGTATCGCACAGGTGCTGATGTGCCCGATCGATGGAACTCACGGTGGCAGGCCCGGCCAGAAACGTCGACCGGCCCGTCTCGCCGCCGACCGGTTCCCAGTGGGCCCGCACCTGCTGGCGAATATACGTATGCAAGTTGCGAGCGAAGCAGATGACGTATCCCATCACCTGGTCGGCGATGATATCGGAGAACAGTCCCCGCATGTTCGACAGCACGCACGGATGCTCGACCAACTCGGGGAACATGTAATGCTCGAGGCTCACCGTGGGAGTCTGTACCCACTTCAGTTGCTTCGCCCCGGCAAGCATCGTTGGAGTCACCCTTCCGAACAACGCGTCGGCATCGACCACGGCCGCCTGGGCTTCCTCCTCGGTTTCGACATTCGCAATATCCCAGCCGGGGGCAACCTTCTTGATCGCCTGCAAACGCTCTGCTTCGACCGCGGGATAAATCACCAGCTTCATGGCGTCCTGCTTCCTACAAGGGGTGCGTAAGTCGTCGGATCGGAATTCCGCGAATTCTAACCACCGCACAATCGCGAAGCGAACCGCCGTCAATCAGTCGACGTGTCACTCGGGAAAGTCAAACCGAGCACTCATCGCAGCAGCAACCGCCAGGAAGACCCAGCCCACGATGAGCGACAAGCCCCCGATGGGAACGATCATGCCCAGGATCTTCACCCCACTGAGCACCAAGGCATAGAGCAGGCCGGAGAAGATAAGAATCCCCAGCAGGAAACAGAATCCAGAAGTCTGCAGCGCCCAACACTGCCCCCGCGTGAGCAGAAAACCGATCAGCACCAACACGGGCGCGTGATACATCTGGTACCGCACCCCGGTTTCGTAGATGTCCATCCTCCGCGCCACCTCGGCCGCGTCGATAGACTTCCTAAGAAACCCCGGCAACCAGTGCGCCCCGAACGCGCCAATCACCACGCCCAGCGCACCGACAACCGCCCCGCAAATCATCCAACCCTTGGGTGACAAAACCGACTCCTCCCAAACTAGCGCGCACAGCAATACAAAGCCAAGATGCTTCCCAACGAAGCCCCATCCTAGCCGCGCACCACGCGCAGACCACAACACCTGCGACAATTTCCCCTCTGTGGCTGGTTTCCAACAGACCAGGTGCAACATCCCCGCCCGACACTCTATCTGGTCTGCTTGTAGGCGAGCAGAACACCCCCCCGTGCCAGCACTCGCCGTGGCGGGCACTCACAACCGGTGTGAACCTTAGGGTCGATACAACCCGACCTGCTGCGGGGGCTCTGGGCGTCGGATTGTGACGCTCGTCACGAAGGAACCGGCGGAGACTGCCGATACCACCTAGAACGGGTACAGCGTGTTGCGCGGATGGTGGAGTGGAATACCCGAGTCCGCGACACGGCAGGAATTGGCGTCAGAAGGGAATGCATTGATGCGGGCATGGAAAACGTTGGCCATCACTGGCTTGGCCGTGGGGCTCATAGTCAGCAGGGCCGGGGCGGAAGAAATCGTCTGGCAGACCGACTTGAACAAGGCCTGGACCCAAGCTCGGTCCGAGCAGCGACCGCTGCTGATGTTCGTGGTTCGCGACGACTGCCGGTTCTGCGACCAGATGAAGGCCCAAACCTACGCCAACTCCCAAGTGGCCGAAGCAATCAACGAGGGATACGTCCCTTTGATGATCAACCCCAAGCAACGGGCCGGCTTCGCCAAAAGCTTCAAGATCGAGGGCTACCCCACCACGCTGGTCATTTCACCACAGTCGAAGGTGGTCGATCGCATGAAGGGCTATCTGCCGCCGGACAAATTCCAGCAGCACCTCACCGCGGCCGAAGCCCGACTGAACGCCACGGCCAGCGCACCCCGTACGACCAAGTAGGGCCGTCGCTCTGCTGCGGTCCCTGGCTCGAGGCCCACGCTTAGTTCCCCAGCTCCGCTGTGGCGTGGTGCCAGCTCGCCCCATCCTGCCAGATTGCACGTGCGGCGTGAGATCAGAAGCACCCATTAACTCGGGTCGCTAGATTGCCGCCTGGGGCAAGCTGGGGGGAGTTGTGAAACGGCGGCAAATGGCTGCGACCCCGATTGTTGGGTTTTACCACCTGTGATATATTTTTGGGTTCGTCCCTAGGCTCTGAATGAGGCCCGTGGTGTCACGGCGCCGGCCCGGTGGACGACGAGTTTTCTCTATTAGGGTTTGCGTTTACCGCTTCGACATTCGCGGTGGGCGTCGGCCAGTTACGGCTTACTGAAACAATGGTCAATCGGAATCTGATTCGCAATTTTGATGTCTCTGAGGATGAGTGGGATACCTTACTGGCAGAGGCCATGGAAGGTGCCGATCCGGATGAGATCGATTGGGGTAGTGAAGAGGTTGATGTCAACCAAATCGTCGAAGGCAAAGTATTGCGGATCGAAGGCGACCATGTGTTGGTCGACGTGGGCTACAAGAGCGAAGGACTCATCCCGCTGAACGAATGGGATGAGGAAGAAGACAAACCCGAGCCGGGCCAAACATTCAAAGTGCTGGTCGAAGACGTCGAAGATCCCTTCGGCCGGGCAGCCGACAGTGCCGGCATGATCGCACTGAGCAAGCGGAAGGCCGAGAAGATCGAGGCCTGGATGAAGGTGATGGAGACCGTCCACGAGGACGACATCGTCACCGGTACCGTTACCCGAAAAATCAAAGGCGGTCTGCTGGTCGACATCGGCGTGAATGTCTTCCTGCCGGCCAGCCAGGTGGATATCCGTCGTCCGCACGACATCGGCGACTACATCGGCCGCACCATTCAGTGCCTGGTGCTCAAGATCGACGAATCGCGGCGCAACATCGTGGTCAGCCGTCGTTCGCTCATCGAAGCCGAGCGGAACGAGAAGAAGTCGCAACTGCTCAAAACCCTGGAAGTGGGTCAACTTCGCAAGGGTGTGGTCAAGAACATCGCCGACTTCGGTGCGTTCGTCGACCTAGGTGGCATCGACGGTCTGTTGCACATCACCGACATGAGCTGGGGCCGCATCGGCCACCCGTCGGAAATGGTCTCGATCGATCAGGAGATCGAAGTCCAAATCCTCAACATCGACCTCGACAAAGAAAAGATCGCCCTGGGCCTCAAGCAAAAGAGTGCCAGCCCTTGGGAGCAGGTCGAAGACAAATACCCCGTCGGCAGCCGCGTAAAGGGTACCGTGGTCAACGTGATGACCTACGGAGCCTTCGTGAAGCTGGAAGAAGGTATCGAAGGCTTGGTGCACATCAGCGAGATGTCGTGGACCAAGCGAATCAGCCACCCCAGCGAGCTGGTGCACATCGACGACGAAGTCGAGGTCGTCGTGCTGGGCATCAACAAAGAGAAGCAAGAGATCTCGCTCGGCATGAAGCAAACGCTCGACAATCCGTGGGAGAAGGTCGCCGAACGCTACCCGCCGGGAACTTCGGTCACCGGAGTGGTTCGCAACCTCACCAACTACGGGGCCTTCATCGAGATCGAGGAAGGCATCGACGGTCTGCTGCACGTCAGCGATATGTCCTGGACCCGCAAGATCGGGCACCCCAGCGAGGTGGTCGAGAAGGGCCAGGAAATCGAGTGCAAGGTGATCTCGGTCGACCAGAACCGTCGCCGCATCGCCCTGGGCTTGAAGCAAATGGACGAGGACCCCTGGGCCACCGATATCCCCAACCGATATCAGCCCGGCCAAGTGGTTCACGGTACCGTGACCAAGCTGACCAACTTCGGTGTGTTCGTCGGCCTGGAAGACGGTCTCGAGGGCCTGTTGCACATCTCCGAGTTGGCCGACCATAAGGTCGAAAACCCCGAAGAGGTCTGCAAAGTCGGCGACGAGATCGAGGTGAAAATCCTGCGTGTCGATACCGACGATCGCAAGATTGGTCTTTCTCGCAAACGGGTTGAATGGGCCGAAGAAGACGAGGCCAAGGCCCTGCAGGAAGAAGAGGAAGCCAAGGCCGCCGCGAGCAGCACGCCTGCTTCGGAACTCAAGGGTGGTGTCGGCGGAGATAGTGGTCCGCTGATCAAAACCTCCAGCGAGCCCGCGGCCGAAGCCGAGTCGTCGGACGAAGAGACCGAAAAGGCGGATGAGTCGGCCAGTTAAGGTTGTTCCGGCTGCTCCGTTAGAAACGGTACAACGTGCAAACGAAAACGAGGTCCTCAGGGTGCTCACTGCCCTGAGGACCTCTTTTGTTGTGCAATATCGCGCGGGCCGTTTCCTTCGTTACGGTCCGAACGCTGGCTACATTCAGCTTACCTGTGCACCTTGTTGCCTTGGTGGAGAAATGTACTAGCACTCGTCGATAGCTGTGTTTGTCAACTGGCATCCATTTCGCGCCCCCAGACGAACACATCCATGCCCGATACTCGACGACGTTCATCATCCGCGGTCCAGTCGCCCCTGGAAACGTACCTCCGCGAGATCAACGAAACCGCACTCCTCTCGGCCGCTGACGAGAAGGAACTGGCCGCCGCCATCGCCGATGGCGATACCGAGGCCCGCGATCGTATGGTCCGCGCCAATCTGCGCCTGGTGGTGAACATCGCCCGGGGGTACACCGGCAAAGGCCTGGGCCTGCAAGACCTGATCGAAGAGGGGAACCTCGGTCTGCTGCGAGCTGTGGAAGGTTTCGACCCTTCGGTCGGCACCCGCTTCAGCACGTACGCCAGCTACTGGATCAAGCAGTCGATCAAGCGAGCCCTGATCAACAGTGCCAAGACCATCCGCATTCCGGCCTACATGGTCGAGTTGCTCAGCAAATGGCGACGGGCCAGCATTCGCTTGAACGAAGAGCTGGGCCGTACGCCCACCCCCGAGGAAGTCGCCCGGGTGTTGGGGCTGCCGAAAAAGAAGCTGCCGATCATCAAGAAGGCGATCCGCATCTACAACTCGACCCCCCAAACCGATCAGGCCGAGGCTGGTTGGACGCTGGGCGAGATGGTGATGGATGAATCTGCCAAGAGCCCCGAAGACGAGATGCTCGAAGCCGATGCCCTCCGCGAAGTTCTGCGGTTGCTCGACACCATGGACCAACGCACCGCCACCGTGCTGCGGATGCGGTTCGGCCTGAACGACCAAGAGCCCTGCACGCTGAAAGAAATCGGCGAATCGCTCGGCCTCACCCGCGAACGCGTCCGCCAGATCGAAACCGAGGCCCTCGGCAAACTGGCCGAAAGCCTGCAAGGCGAGCCCCGCTTCAGCCACTAAGGTGTAAAGGGCGGGCACTGGGCTTGAGTCTCTAGCCCCCGAGTGCCAAAACCCTAGACCCAGCGACTTCGCTCTCTGTACGCGTAACCACGCAGCGGTCGATCGTCCGCTTCGATCTCAGCCCACAAAAAAACCGCCGGCCTTCACTTGGAAGACCGGCGGTTTGAGATGCGATGCGTCTCGTCGTTCGTGACGCAGACGCTGCTTAGTACAGGTCGTGGTCGCCGCCGTGACCACCCTTCTTCGAATCCTTCGGCTTCTCGGCGATGAGGGCATCGCTGGTCAGCAGAAGAACCGCAACGCTCGAGGCGTTTTGCAGGGCGGTTCGGGTGACCTTCGTGGGGTCGATGATCCCGGCCTTAACCAGGTCTTCGAACTTGTCGGTCGCGGCGTTGTAGCCAAAGTTGCCTTCGGCCTCGAGCACCTTTTCGCAAATGATGCCGCCGTCTTGTCCGGCGTTGTTGGCAATTTGCGTCAGCGGAGCACGGCAGGCACGCACGATGATGTTGTAGCCAATCTCCTCATCGTGAGTCAGACCCTTGGGCTTCACCGAGTTGGCGGCCCGCAGAATCGCGACACCACCACCGGGGAGAATACCTTCGGCCACCGCAGCACGCGTGGCGTGCAAAGCGTCTTCGACGCGGGCCTTCTTCTCCTTCATTTCGCTTTCGGTGGCCGCACCGACGTTAACCTTGGCCACACCGCCGGAGAGCTTGGCCAGCCGCTCTTCGAGCTTCTCACGATCGTAATCGCTGGTGGCGTTGTCAATCTCGCGGCGAATTTGGTCAATACGCGACTTGATGTCGGCACTCGAACCGGCACCTTCGATGATCGTGGTGTTGTCCTTGTCGACGATCACCTTCTTAGCCCGACCCAGATCGGTCAGCGGCAAGGTCTCCAGCTTCAGGCCGAGGTTTTCGAACACTGCCGTACCACCGGTAAGGATGGCGATATCTTCCAGCATCGCCTTACGACGATCGCCGTAGCCGGGGGCCTTCACCGCACAGCACTTGAAGGTGCCACGCAGCTTGTTGATGACCAATGTGGCCAGAGCTTCGCCTTCGACGTCTTCGGCGATAATCAGCAGCGGACGGTTGGCGTTCACCACCGCTTCGAGCACGGGCACCATGTCCTTCACATTGGTGATCTTCTTCTCGAAGACCAAAATGTAAGGATCTTCCAGCACGCACTCCATGGCCTGCGAGTCGGTCACAAAGTACGGCGACAGGTAGCCGCGATCGAACTGCATACCTTCGACCCATTCCACTTCGGTCGAAAGGCTCTTGCCTTCGTCGACGGTGATCACGCCGTCTTTTCCGACCTTTTCCATGGCTTCGGCCAGCAGCTCGCCGATCTCAGAATCGTTGTTGCTCGCCACGGCGCCCACGTGGGCCATCTCTTTGCGGCTCTTGATAGCGATCGAAGAGTCTTGCAACTTCTGGCGAATGTCGGCCACGGCCTTTTCGATACCTTGCTTCAGTTGCACGGGGTTCACCCCGGCCACCACGGCCTTCAGGCCTTCGTTGAAGATGGCTTCGGCCATCACGGTGGCGGTCGTCGTTCCGTCGCCGGCCACGTCGCTGGTCTTCGAGGCGACTTCGCGGACCATGCGGGCGCCCATGTTCTCATAGACGTCTTCCATGTCGATTTCTTTGGCTACGGTCACACCGTCTTTGGTGACGGTCGGCGAGCCAAAGCTTTTTTGCAGAATCACGTTTCGGCCCTTGGGGCCCAGCGTGACTTTCACGGCACGCGCCAGCTTCGACACCCCGCGCTTCAGCGCGTCGCGGGCGTCTTGATCGAAGGCGATAATCTTGGACATCAGTCAGTGTCTCCTGGAAAACTACCGAGCCGCAGGGGTTGCGGCCCGTGGTTGGGTGGTTTGATCCCAGCAACGCGGTGCGAACACCGGTCGCACGGCAATTATTCGATGACGGCGAGAATGTCGTCTTCACGCATCAGGAGCAGTTCCTGATCGCCAACTTTGATCGCTTCGCCGGCGTAGGACGTGAACAGCACGCGCTCGCCTGGCTTCACTTGCAGAGCGTGACGGGTCCCGTCGTCCAAGAGGCGTCCGTCGCCCACGCTGATGATGGTGCCCCGAGCGGGCTTGTCTTTGGCTGTATCGGGCAGCACGATTCCGCCGGCGGTGACATCCTCGGATGCCTCACGCTCGACCACCACACGGTCGCCCAGGGGTTGAAGCTTCACTTTGCCCGAGGCCTTTTTCTTGGATTTGGTCGCTGTCGACATTACTGTTCGCCTCCGCGAAAACACTTTGAACGAGATGGATCGGTAAAGGCCGATCGAGGGCGACCGGCCGCTATGGCTGCCAAAAGTGCGCATTTCTCATGCGTAGGGGACACTTGGTAAGCAAGGGGCGCGCCAATCGAGGGCCCATTTGCCAAGACATTGCCAGGGAACCACTTGCGACATTGGTCCCAGGCTCGCCCCAACTCGCCCGCAAGTCCCATCTGGCAGTTTCACCCCGTGGGGGCCGAGGTTTCTGCCATTTTGGCAGCAGACATGGGAAACCAGCCGAAGCCGCCCTAGTCCTGCTGACCCCGCTCGAGCGCCCGAATTATAGCATCCACGTCGTAGACAGCCCCGCCCCAGATCCCCCCGCCCACCTGCTGTAGGGCGGCCCACAGTCGGGTGTCGTCGGGAAGCCGCTCGTCGGGGCAAAGCTCGGGGTGGGGATCCCGCGAGGCCAGCAGCTCGGTTCCCCGCTCGATGGAATGTTCCGCAGGCTCGTCCTCGGCCGCCCCCACCACATCGACCGTTCCCACTAGCCGGTTCCGGTCGATCACGATCTGCACGATATCGCCGTCGCGAACGCGACCCAAGGGGCCGCCGGCCAGGGCCTCGGGCCCGACATGCCCGATGCAGGCTCCCGTGCTCACTCCAGAAAAGCGGGCGTCGGTCACCACGGCTACTTCTCGCCCCCAGGGCAGGTGTTTCAGGGCCGAGGTCACCTGGTAGATCTCTTCCATCCCGGTCCCCATCGGCCCCCGCCCGATGAGCACCATCACATCGCCCGGCACCACCTGCTGGTCGCCCCGGCCCTTGATCGCCGCCACCGACTCACGCTCGCTGACGAACACCTTCGCGGGGCCGGTTTTGCGATATACCCCGTCGTCGTCGACCACCGAAGGATCGATCGACGTGCTCTTGATCACCGATCCCTGTGGAGCCAGATTGCCCCGTGGAAAGCAGACCGTGCTGGTCAGTCCCTTCTCCTTCGCCCTGCGTGGGGCCAGAATCACCTCGTCGGGATCCACACCGTCCTGTTCGACCAATACCTGCCGCAACCGCTTTCGCCGTGGCGAGTCTTCCCACCAGTCGAGCACTTCACCCAGCGTTATCCCCGCGGCCGTTTTCGCCGAAAGCTCCAACAGCCCTAGCTCGCGAAGGTGCAACATCACCTCGGGCACACCACCTGCGAGAAACACCCGCACGGTCGGGTGACCGATCGGGCCGTTCGGCAACGCATCGACCAACCGCGGTACCTTCACGTTGATCTCGGTCCAGTCTTCCACACTCGGACGCTGCAGCCCTGCCGAGTAAGCAATCGCCGGGATATGTAGCAGCAGGTTGGTCGAGCCGCCGAACGCCGCATGAACCACCATCGCATTGCGAATCGAAGCGTCGGTGAGGATGTCTTGCGAAGTCACACCTTGCCCAGCCATGCTGGCCACGGCCGCCGCGCTACGCCGGGCGTTATCGAGCCAGATGGGCTGTCCCGAGGGGGCGAGCGCCGAATGTGGTAAGGCCATCCCAAGGGCCTCGGCCACCACTTGGGCACTGGCGGCGGTTCCCAGGAACTGACATCCGCCGCCCGGCGAAGCACAGGCCCGACAGCCTAGCTCGGCCGCTTCTTGCAGCGTGATCTCCTCGTGGGCGTAACGGGCCCCAATCGACTGGATCTTGCCCGCATCCTCGCCTTGCGTTGGCGGCAGTGTCACACCACCAGGCACCAACACGCTCGGCAAATCGCGAGATCCGGCCAGGGCCATCATCATGGCGGGAAGCCCCTTATCGCAGGTGGCCACGCCCAGCACTCCACGACGCGTGGGCAGCGAGCGAATCAACCGCCGCAGCACCATGGCCGCATCGTTGCGATACGGCAGACTGTCGAACATCCCGGCGGTGCCCTGCGTTCGCCCATCGCAAGGGTCTGAGCAATACGCTGAAAACGGCAAACCTCCGGTCGCTCGAATCTGCTCGGCCGCCGCTTGAACCAGCAGCCCCACTTCCCAATGGCCCGTGTGATATCCCAATGCCGCCGGGGTCCCGTCGGGGCGTCGCATGCCGCCTTGCGTGCTGAGGATCAAATATTGAGGGCCCAACAATTCCTGCGGCGACCAGCCCATGCCGACGTTCTGCGAGAGACCGAACAGATCGCCCGAGGGCCACTCGCGGAGCATCTCATCGGTCAGCGGCAGCGACCCTTGATTGCCCGCGGCGGTGGTCGCCACGTCGAAGATCTGCTCGTCCTCACTATCCAGCAGTTGCGCATGCGTATTAGTGCGGGAGTTAGCGTCGGTCATTGGGAATGTCCGCGGAAAGAGAAATCGAACGCTCGCCGGTCAGCGTTTCCCGACGAGTCGCATCAGCATACCAGTGCAGCGGAGCGGGAGACATTACGCCTCGGCGGCCAGCTTCGGCATCCACATGCGAAACAAGAACGTGGCGAGCAAGGGCAGGGCAATCGACGCGATGAGCGCCGGCAGGAGGGCATCATGCTCGGCCGCGTAACGACCAAACACCGAATAAGCCAACGCGATGCCGAGGTTGCTCAGCGCCAGCGGAATGATCAGCTTCCTAAGCTCCAGCCCGGTAGCGCCCATCAGCAATACGCTGGCTTCGGCCAACACCGGAACCGCTCGGGTGATCACCACCAACTGTGGCCCAAACCTGGCCGAGAGGGCCTCCATCCGCTGCAGTTCTCCGCGTCCCGCCAGCCGATTCGCCAAGGGCCGTCCGCCGTAGCGAGCGAC